TCTGGAGGACAGATTACAAGAAGGGAGAAGGCCTCGACTGAGAGGATGGTGGGTTGTATCCTTTCCCCAAATATGTGCTAGCTCTCCTTCTCCCACTCACATCAAGATTGGCCATGTGACTTTGCTGCCCCCCACGAATGGATAATACTTTCTCATCAATTTGACTTTACATTTAGCTTGGCGGTAAGTATCTTGGCCCATGTAATGTGAGCAGAAATGGCATACATCACTTCTGAACAGAGGCCTCAATGGGCTGTGTTTTACCACTGCCACCTTCCAGGAGCCCAGGCCATGACATGGCTGCCCTATCAACAAACTTCCTGCCTGATGGCAACTGAATACGGAGCAGTGCTGCAGTAAATGACTCACAAAGGACAAACAGTATGAGTGAGAAATAAATCTCCATTGTTTTAAGATCTTTTAGGTCTTTTGTTACTGCAGCATAACTGAGCTTAACCTGATTAATGAAAGAGGCCACTGCAAGACTTCGTGAAACACATGGCATCTTAAAGTCGGCTAGTGGCAATCCAAATGAAGAAAACGGGACTGATTAGAGGAATACCTGGAAGGCTGAAGGAAAGGTGGGGTGGGGGTGGCAGGCTCAATGTTATATAAGTACCACAAAGAAGAAAAAAATAAATAACTGAGGGGACCAAGATATTACACAGGCCACCACATGGAAGTAGAATTAGGTGAATTAAATATGACCCCCAAAGAACAGAGTTAAGATAAGGAAATGAAAGTTACAGGAAACAGATTTCTGCTCAGCATAAGAAAGCCTTTCTAACAATGAGCGCTCTCTAATGATGAAGAGAATTCCTTGGGGAGGGATGAAGGGGAGGGATGAAGAAAATTCCTTCGGGAGGCTGCTCACATAACCAGAAGTATTCAAGGAAAAAATGAATGGCCACATAAAAAAGGATATTTTAGAATGGGATTCCAGAATTACCTGGGTAAACAGGCTGACTGTAAATGTTGTGTCCAACTCTAAAAATAGAAGTATCAATACTTCTATCAGCTCATATTAACAGCAGTTGACCATTTATTACAATGAGCAAGGTGCTGTGCTGAACAAAACAATCCTTCACCTTTTTTACGTCAAGAACAGGAGCTCAGTGCGCTTGAGTCATTCTCCCAAATCATATAGTTATGTAATTGGCAGAGCAGAGACCCAAAATATCTCATCTCTGAAGACGGTGAAAAAAATGAACTTCTACAAATGCATGCCCCTGTACAGATATATAAAATTAAAGCCAGGTATGTTAGCTTCCGTCTGACACCTCAATGGAAAATGCTCTTGAGTAAGCAGCACTGAGGGTTGTTCTTTTTTTTAATGGACAAATGATACTAGTTGGAAGTATACAATCCAGTGTATGCAAATATTGAAGAATTATAGGACAAGCAAATAAATGAAAGATAAACTACTTAAAGTCATATTACCTTAGAATTTAAAATAGTCTACACAGCATCGATGCAGTATTACCTCAGCACCAATCAATAGTAACAAGAAATGAAATTATCTTCTTCTGTGTGAAGTTCACATGGTTACCTTAATTTCTGTAGTGAAATTATTTTTAATAAACCACTGCAGTGATTCTGTATACACTAGCAACTGCCACCTTTTGGAAAGAAGATGGATTTATATAACTCCTGCTTATAGCTGTAAGTGAGAGCTTCTCAAAGTAGTTAATGGAATTCCCTTTTAACTAAACAAATCCATATGCTAAGAAATAAAAAGCAGAAATAATAAATCGGATGTACAAGCTTTTTAATACGCAAACTAAGAAAAAAAATGGCCCAGGAAGCACAGACATCCTACAAGTGACGCATTACTTGATGATCTGTTTTAATAACTTCAATTCGGGCTTCATGCTGGAAACTCAAAACACCCACACTGGGAAACCAAGTCAATCTTATCTGAATAAAAATGGAAAGGCATAACAGAAAATTGCTGGGAATAGAAAGTAGCCTTCATTTCAATAAACTTAGGTTGTAAACAGATAAATAAGTTACAGCAAATGGTCTAAGCTATGGGAAGAACAAAAGGGCAAGAATGTATTAGCCAACAGAGCTCTCTTGACAATGAATAAAGAGAGCTAAACACAACCATTTAAAATGCTTCCCTGCCTCATGAGTAGGGTCATTTCCATTTATAAAACACAGTTACTTAAAGTTGTTTTAAAGGACAAAAGAAGTATTATAATTTTTCAAAAGAATCTCAAGTCATCCACTCTAACTGCAAGAAGGAAACTCAACAGCTTGATTATTAATTATTTTCTAAAAGAAGCCCTGTCTTATAGGAGGATTCAAATCAAAATGGGCAAAATCGAAAATTTATGGGGGAAATGAATTAATAATTATTGAATAGTAACAATAGGTCAAGTATTATGACGCACACATCATACACCTCATCTAACAAAAAGTCAAGGTACACAGTACACTATCCTAGACTTCACTGAAAGGGCATAACTAGGGCTTAGTGAGGTTGTGGTAACTGCCCAAGTAACAGACCCTGAAACCAAACCAAGGTTTAACACAAAGTTCTTCAGAACTATCCCAAGCTTTACAGCATGACAAAATGCATCCATCACTGTGAACTTTCTTATAAAATAATAATTCATCTTGACCTGGACTTCAATTTTTATCACAAATTCTGATTCGTGAGCACAGAATAAATGAAGTATCTGCATTTCTCTTCTCTGTTTTTCTGCTCTTCTAATTTTGTTCCAACAAATAAAAAAACATGCTACCTTTTAAAACACAAAAGACTGAAAAGAATCCAATTCAACCACAAATTCATTAATAATTATTTTTCTGAAAATTGTAATAGAAAAAACACAGTGAACTACAATTTTTTAAAATATGTACTTTGTTCCATATACATTAAAAACATATAAAAAAGATTGTGTTTAAAGGTACATTAATTACAATATAGATGTAAGAGCTTGATTCTGGCATAAGATTATGGAACCAGTGAAATTTTCCCCTTTTTCCTGAAGGAAGTTTGTGTGTGCTTGTGTTTTGTTCTGTTTTGCAGTGGGAGAAAGAATTACCAAATATGTGGAATATTTACGAGTACTTAACTCTTAAAATCAATGCTTCTAAAATACACTGCCATTAGAGGATGGCTCAGCCAAAAAAAATAAATAAAATATACTGCCATTAGTAACAGATGGCCTCTAGGTCTATTCCAAGTCACAGAGGCAGGAACTAAAGTTCAGAATGAAAAATAGATAAATGGGGGGGAGGGATGTGTGTTTCTGAGTGACTTAAACAAGGGCAACTTATCAACTGCAGCTTAAGAACCGTAAGCAGTTCTACTATAGTGATATTACCCTTGATAAAAGCTGAGTAAGAAGCTTAATGATAGGGCCAGCTGAGTGGCTCAGTTGGTTAAGAGCTCACTCAAGAGTGTGAGCTCTGAACAAAAGGGTCGCCAGTTCGATCCCCAGCCCGAGCTGAGCTGCCAACAGGTGGCAAAATGGCTCAGCTTAAAAAAAATCAGTTTCTAAAAAAAAAAGAAGCAGCAGCTTAATGATACTAGAATGTTCTTTCAGCTTTGATCACCTAAAAGTACTATATGTAAACTCAGGAAAGGTAGTGAATAAAGTTTTTCCTGTAGAACTAACCCATTCTTTTTCATCCATTCCTCCCTTTAAAACACCATCCAGAGCCTGAACATAGTGTTAGCCTGACATAGTGTTATGCCAGAAAGTAAGGAGGTGCTCAAATATTGATGAGGACAAGTAAAAAAACCATAACAGCCATCATGAAGGGGGTTCCCCCAGGCAAATATGAAAGAACATATCAAAATAAATAATGGTAATGAATCATATAATCCACTGAGTAAAACAGAAATCCATTTTTCCAAATTTATACAGATATATAAAGATTAAGGGAGACAGATAAATACATACATACATACATACATAGGGGGGAAATGAAAAGCTCTTCCTTACAACAGAGTGCCAACTAATAAAAGTAGAAGGAATGGTGGCATTTGAAAATTAACATTAAACCCATAATAGTAGTAACTGATTTAGACAAGGACCACCAACTAATAGAGGCTAAAACAAGTGAGTCAACATTTGATAACAAACATGATAATTATACAATCTCATTGGACCTGACCACAAATTATTAATTATAATACAGAATTAATAAAGATCATAACTAACAAGTATTTATTAATTTACAGCAGAGAAACCAGCTCCAAAAAGGGATCAAAATTAAAAATGGGAACCTGAAGTCATGGGCCTCCTGCTGAGGAGGATAGGACAGCACTCCTATGGTATTCCTAATAAACCATAACCTGAATCTAAATATGAGGAAACTATCTCAAACTGAGGGGCTTTTAATATAAAACATAAGGCCTGAACTTATCCAAAATGCCAATGTTAAAAATGAAAAAGAAAAAAAACAACTAAGGAACTCTTCTAGATTTAAAGAGATGTGTAAACAAAATATAACGTATGATCATGGATTGGATCTTGGGGAGAGGGGGGTTAAGCAATAAAGAACATAATTGGGACAACTGATAACACCTGAGTTGAATTATGGATTAAATAATAGCAATTTATCAATGTTCAATTTCCTAGTTTTCATAATTGTAGTATGCTTATATGAGAGGATAGCCTTGTCCTAGGAAATGTACACTTAAAAAAATACAATCTTATGTGTGCAAAAAAAAAAAAAGTGGTTCAGGGAATCACATACACACACACACACACACACACACACACACACACTAATTATAAAGCAAACTAGGCAAAAGAAAAACTACTGGTGAATCTGTAAAAGACACATGGAGTCCTTTGTGTTATTCCTGAAAATTCTCTAACTTTAAAATTATATCAATATAAAAAGAAACAAGCGATTGATATAACTGCATTGTTATAAAACTGTGTGTGAAAACGTTCTGAGAACTATAGGAAACGCTCTGAGCACCTAGCATTGCCCTTGGAGACTCACAGCCACCTGGATGCTGTTCCTTCTCTTACCTTTCTAACAGGTTGTGGATCGCTTTGAAGAGCAGCGTCCGACATTCATAGGAAAGGCCATTTTCCCAGAGTCCTTCTTCCACAACTGAAAAAAACAAAACAAAACAAAACAAAAGAAAATGAACCAGTAAGCAGGGCATCCAAACAAAAATAAAAAAGAAACTTCTAAAACATTTTTCTAAAGCAAAGTGAATGAATGTAAATAAATCATCTCACACTGAAAAAGAGAAAGGAAGTGAAATACTTAACCAAAGTTATAAAATACTTTTGTACCAAAGGAAATATGTGTTTAGATTTTAAAGTCTCTGAAATACAGCCATAAAAGTCTTTCCAACCTGCTTATTCAAAGTTTAAAATCATTTGAAATTTTCAAATTAACCTTTCCTACCTTATAGTGTCACAAAGACTAATTTTGTTAAAGTTCTATTAAAGGTATTTAAAAATAATTAATACCAAAGTTGTCATATGCATTTTCAGAGGGAAAATCAAAAGGAAAAAAATATCCAAAAATATGAGTTACACAAAATTTTCTAAATGTTGAAAGCAGTATTTGAATAGGATTTTAAGGACATGATGTTAGGGAGAATGTCAGGAAACTAAATCTTAATATAACATCAATTTATTTCCTGAACTCATAATTTCTTTAATGTTTGACATTTGGGGAAATACCATATTTGCCTTTTAAATATATTATAACATTGAGCCACAGGTAACTCTTAATACCAAGAGAATCCAACAGACTAACAATACCTCATGCATTCTTAACTTTCTTTTCATATATAAAAAGATGTAAAACACCCTAGAGAAGTTGGCTAATTTTCTTTTAAATTATATTACTTCCATTCAAGACAGCAAAAAATTGGAAGGATGGAAACATTTGCAGAAGAAAATTTCCTCTCCCGTTTATTTGTTATCTTGACAAAAGCATTCACCAGAGAAAATTCTGACAGAGAATTAAAACACAGGTTAAACCCACAATGCATTTTTAATGCTTTTATCACACTAACAGACATCTCAAAATGCATCTGCATATTCTCCAATCAGATAGAATTTGAAGAAGTGTATTTACATTCATAAGTTTTATCTAAAGGGCTTTTTTTAATGATAAAACTGGGTAAACACTTTTTTGTCTTCCTATGCCAGGTAACTTTTTTATGTTCCTGCCTATGTGGCTCATCATAATTTACCGAATTTTCCCAAAGCAACCTCTGGCAGACACATATGATTTGTAACTACAGGAATGGAAATAAAATGCAACAAATAAACAGACATTCCTGCTAGCAACCGATTATCTCTATTCAGGAGAAACCATCCAAAAGTTCTCTACAATTTTCTGAAGGTGACATGAATCTCTGTTCTCACACATTAACTTTTTGGGTAGAGTTTTTCCTGGGTGAGAAAGAGCGCTAACATTTCAATAAAAGAAACACCCCATAATAATTTGCTTTTCTTTCCTAATGAGTCTCACTGACTCTAAGACACCACCAATTTTAACATGCACCATTATTTTATATATCATTAGGGGCGGAAGGGTGGGAGAAAGCTGCCAATTAAACTATAAGATAGCTCTTATCACTTACAACTTTGAATTTGTAATGAAAGAGCTCCTTTAGATTTAATGAAATACATTTTTTAAGTATCATTATTGTACATACATGAAACAAATCATATATTCAAAGAAATAAGTTAGAAATTAATAAAACGTCATCAATATTCAAAGTCTAACTCTTTGGAATCACTCCTCAAGTCAGTCGCTGGCGTCACTGGTTTCCTACATGATACAGTCTTTCATGCCATAAAAAGAATTGGTGATGGTGCACCATTTGTCAAATGCGTGGACAGCTCTTCTTTCCAAGACTGTCTTCCAAGCTGGTAACAATTATTCTGCACATTTTTAAAAATCTTTGAGAATTAAAATCTTCAAACACTTTAAAATAGAATCACACGCTTCAATTCCTAAACCAAATTATGAACACTGTGTCATTTGCTTCAACCATCCTTTCTTTTTCCTTTTTCTTTCTGTTTTCCTTGATATACGTGAAAGCAAATCCCACTCCCAAGCACTTCGGCATACATCAAATCAAAATCTAAACAGTCTATCAATGCCTCTCAAGTTATATCATAAATCTTCTTAATCTACAACAGCTCATCTCTTTTTCAAACATGCCATTAACTTAGCGAAGAAGCCAGGTGAGTTGTCTTAGAGAATACTCACAGTCACATCTAATTGCTTCCTCAGATCATATTTTCATGTTGGTGTTACTTTGACCTAAACAAAAGATGTCAAAGGAAAGTTCTCACACAACAACTAGAACTCTATTTTTTCCTCAAATGGTCCTCAAATACTTGGTTAATTGAAATATTGAAGATGTGTAGCTGTTCAGCAATGTAACAGGAATACTCAACGATTTGCTCAGGCACAGGCAATGCCAACTACATGACCATTTTAAGATATCACTAGGATTTTATCCTGATTTCAACAATTTTAAGATAGGTCTTAGAACTGATTTTTTTTCCAAAGAACAAATCTTAAAAGAGCACTTACAAAAACAACCCTACAACTAATGTCATACTTAATGTTTAAAAAAATAACTGAATGTTTTCTCCCTAATATCAAGAACAAAGCAAGGATATCTGCTCTCACCACTCCTATTCCACAGTACAGTGCAAGTCTAAGCCAATACAATAAAGCAAGAAAAATAAATAAGTAACAGGCATACTGACTGGAATGAAAGAAATAAAAGGGTTTCTATTCAGAAGAGACATGACTATTAGAAAATCTTAAAGAATCAACAGAAAATAGCTACTAGAATTAAAACTGAGTTTACCTAAATCACAGAACACTAGGTTCATAGATACAAAACAATCATATATCCTGGAATGAATAATTAGCAATGGAAAAAAACTTAAGCAACATTTACAACAGCACCAAAAAAACGATGACATTCCCAGATATAAATCTTACAAATTATGTACAAATTATGTGCAAGATATATATGCTGAAAACTACAATACTGATGAAAGAAATAAAAAAGACAAAGAAATGCAGAGGTGTACACTGACTGTAGACTAGAAAAATCATTATTGTTAATATGTCAGTTTCTTCCAAACCAATCTAGAGTCAATTGAATTCCAATCAAAATCTCTGCAGAACTTTTTAAAACATAAACAGACACGCTGAATCTACATACTTATGTGAAAAAGCAAAGCCAAAATAATGTTGTAAAAAAAAAAAAAGTTGAGAAACTTATATCACCTGATATCCAGATTTACTACAAAGCTAGAATAGACAAGAGAGTGTGGTACTAGAGAAAGGATAGATTATATAGATCAACAGAACAAAATAGAGTCCAGAAATAGACCCACACAATTATATGATCAACTGATTTTCAACAATGGGAGCAAAGGCAATTCAGTGGAGAAAAAAAATCTTTTCAAGAAATGGTGCTAAAATTAATGAATTTCACAACAAACATGAGCCTCAACCCCTACCTCACACCACATAGAAAAATTAACGTATAATGGATCATAGAACAAAATGCAAGACCTAAAACTATAAGACTGAAAATACAGGAGAAACTTTGTATAAGCTTAGATTAAACAGACTTCTTAGACATGACACCAAAATGTGATCCATAAGGGTAAAAAAAAGTTAAACGGGGCTTCATCAAAATGAAGAACTCTGCTCTTCAAAAAACATGAAAAAGTTATGTTAAGCTATGGAAAAGACAGCCACAGATGGGGAATAAGCAGTTACAAATCACATTTCTGACAAGGACTCATATTCACAATATGCTATTCTTGAAAAAAAATCTCAAAACAGAACACTAAGAAAAAAACAATTTTAGAAAATGGACAAAAGATTTGAGCAGACACTTTGCCAAAGAACATATATGAATGGCAAATAAAAACATGAAAAGATGTTCAAAACCTCGCTAGTCATTACAGAAATGCAAATTGAAAGCAGAATGAGAGATCACCCATTAGAATGGCTTTTAAAAAAATGAAAATACTAGTGAGCATACAGAGTAACGAACTGTCATATACTGCTGAGGGATGCAAAAATAGTACAGCCATTTTGGAAAAGTTGACTTCGGCAATTTTTTCTCAAGTTAAATATATACTTGCCATATAGCCCAGCAATATCCCCCTAGGTATATAGTCAAGTAGAGTTAAGAACTTATGTTCGCATGCAACACTGTAGCAAATGTTTATCGTTTTTATCATAACTGCCCAAAGCTGGAAATCATCCAAATGACTAACAACAGAAAATCCATACAATGGAATACTATTCAAAAACAAAAGGAACTACTGACACAATCAAAACATGAATGTCACTATGCTAAGTGGAGAAAGGCGTATTACAAGGGCCATATGTTGCCTGACTCACTCATATGACATTCTTGCAAGGGCGAACTTAAGGTAATGTAAACTGCTCAACGGTATCCAGGTATGGGGTGGGGGGGGGGGGGTGTTGGTGACAGAGGACATGGAAATTTGGGGGGTGATCGAACTGCTCTAATCTTGATTATGGTGGTAGTTACATAACTGTGTACATTTGCCAACACTCGTACAACTATATACAAAAAAAACTAAAATTTACTCACAATCTTTCACTGCTCTAATTTACATAAACTCATTTTACTATTGGACAAGGCTCTGGACCTACGCCACAATGAATATGCTTACATTGATTTTTTTACATTTTTTGTGTTGAAAATGAGAACAGGATGTGAATCCAAAGGAGTCCTACTCTAAACTTATGTACACTAAACATGATTGTTTCTATCCAAAGGATATTGTGTCCATTCCTTCATAAATTAAAAGCAAAAAAACATAAAACAGTTACAGCAACAAGCCATGACATACCCAAGTGGTCCTCCTCAACAGCATACATACACTATTAGTTATATCAAGTACTTCATATGAAATACTGCAAATAATACAAATAATACTGAAAATTATTTTTAAAGTACCTTTATTAATATACTTTTTATATGGCAATTCTCATATCCTCCTTTATATTATGACTATATAGTATTATATAAATTAATATAAACCAATTTAATTGGAAACAGGGAAGAA